ACTTTTATTTTAATTTTGACTCCCATTTTAATTTTGAAATATCAAAATTTTGAAATGGTATTTTGGGATCAATTTCGAGGTATTTATATTTCAGGTTTCGGGTCCCAAAATAATTTTGCGTGCAAGTATAGTCAAGCCATTACTTAAGATGAGCAGGTTATTAAACTCTGATCAGGAATAGCTGATACTTGACTACTCTGTTCAGGCATTAGAGTGGAACAAGAACAAGTTTCCGCATGATTATGAGGAGACATTACTTCAAGTAGGATACCAGTATCATCTGGTTTTGAATTATCACAGGTTAAGAAGTATAACTTTTGTCCTTGCTTGTTAACCATTTTCCAAGTACCCATTGATGTTTCTTTTTTTACTATAACGTGCAAAAGCTTACCGCAGAAATCAACAAAATCAAAGCCGAAATCAATGATGAACTTATTGCAAAAGGCGTAGAATATTATTTCTATGATCAATGAATTTCCACATTTCGGTAAAATAAATTTTATTTGTAATATTTTTTTATGTAATCCTGCACAATAATAAACCTGAATTCACATGTTTTTTTGTGCAACCCAATTTCTATATAAATATAACCATATGTATTTTTTTTTATTTTTGGACGCTTCGCTCATGAAATTTTCTTTTCCATTTCGATTACGCAATGATATACGAATTTTCTGCTTTTATGCTACTCGCATTTTATCATCATTATACAACGGAAGAAAGGTAAGAAATAACTAGCTGAAGGTGATAATAAAATGCAATTTGCAGTTACCATAAAAAAATTACATCTTGCACATGACTTGATAATCTAATAAAAAAATTACATTTACACATGATTGATAATCGATCATACCTTCACTTGTCAAATTCTATTCAACTTCAACTCTTAAGGAATCATGGAATATAGTCAGAGGCTTGTTTAATCTCCCAAATAGCTGCTCCTCCACTTTTTTCAACTTTTCTACTGGTTTTTCCAATGTTAACTAATTCTTTCTTTTTAGTTCCATAATTTGCTGTGTTCCATCTGAGAAGTCTCCGTGACTTCTCACAAGGTTTCACGTGTCTCGTGGAATCACATCAATACTCAAACAAATAATTTCAATGAAGATGATTTAAACGCACTGAAAGTGAGGTTTCAACTAGCAGCCGAAGACCTCGTTATTCCCAACGAGAAAATCGAAAAATTTCTAGAACAGTACGTTTGCCCTAGAATAAACAGAGACATGCTTAGCAAAGAAGGATTCAAAGTAAAATCAATAAGCAATTTTTCGGATTGTACCATTCGAACATTCTTTAATAAACTGTATATCGTCACGAGAAGCCTACCAGGAATACCCGAGTTCCGCACTGATGACTTGGTTGCTGATCTGCTTCGTATTTCCTGACTGAATAATTATCCTTTGGAGATAGCATGAGTAATTTGAAAAAGTCTGTGCTATATTATCTAAATGGCTTCCTAAATTTTCTTTCTGTAATTAGACAACAACTGCCATGTAAACTACATATCTTCAATAAGCCTTACGTTTTGGTAAAACTCGACTTTATGGTAACTAAGGAAACAATATCTATGATTGTTATAGAAGTATGTGTTATGTTTTATTATTTTGCTGATTAATATCTTTGATTACTTAAATAGGGTTTTTTTAACATGATAAAACTCTACAAAATATTGACCCTACGAATGATTATGGAAAAATGCAAATTGCTGCCGAACTGCTTGCTTGTGGAAATAAAAATATACGTGGAGATGCTAAGATCACTAACCAAGTTTTATTTGCCATTCGTTTTATCTCTATCTATGTTACGTTTTACAAGACTGAGATTCCTTTTGGATATTGGAAAGAACTTGCTAAAAGTTTACCAAAAAAAAATTCAGTTACAATCAAAAGATGACCAGGAGAAAACGATAAGAGAAGTGATTTTGATCTTGCAGACCCAGATGAAAGGAAAGCGGTGTTGACTACATTAACTAAAATTCGTCAATATCTTTTGAAATAGGTGAATCAGTAATAATATCATGATGTGATTAGTTTAGCTGTGCCTTGAGGTACTTTATATATTAGTACGATTTAATACAACTAAGATATTTCGCATCACTACTTTTTCAAATATACAGTATAATCCTTATTTCTGTTTTTGATTACCTGTCACATTAAATTTGATAAGCAGATCAACTAGTGATTTGTATATAAAGTTGACATATTAAACAAATTATGCAAAAAAATAATGTATTATATGTTATATTAAACAGTTATCTGCAATTTATATATGTATGTATTAATTATAGATCGAAAATTTTGGAAGCTTGATTAACGAAATTCTTGATTTTTTGTATCCTTTCCAGAATAACAATTTCTGATTTTTCATCATACCATACCTCAAGTAGGAAAATTCCATTATCTTGACATATGCATCTTTTTTTCTGATCACGATTAACAATATCTTCAAGCTTTTTAATATCTTTATACCAGCTAGTACTATGAAACCAGTGCTGACTTCCTTGTACTTCTAACGCGATTTTATATTTTTGAAAGAAGGCATCGAATTCTAATCCATTTAAGAAAGGAGGACGGTACTCAATTATCAGTTCTTCATTAAGAATTTCTTTAGCAATCTGAATGCATTTATTTTGGAATTTACGATTTTTCTTAAACCTCAATTCTTCCAGCTTTTTATATCTGGCTAAATGATCATTATCCGCTTCTTCAAGTTTAGAAATTCTTTTATTCCATGAATCAATTCTGGATTGTGTATCCGATATTATTTTATACAAGATGTGAATATGTTCAAAAGTTTAATTACAAGTAAAAAAGATGTCTGAATTTTTCAGCGTTCTTTTTCGGAACACCAATCACTTTTGCAAAGAAAATAACATGACACCGTGAAATTATTCACGCTCTTTTGCCAGAAGTGGATATTGTCTAAAGCAGCTACCCCAGTATCACCAGAAATATTTTCGCACACACGTGTTTTCATGTGAGGCCATTTTTATTTTTTATCCTGATTTCGTTGATTTCACCGATTTCTCAAACCATTTCAAAATTTATTTCCATTTCAAAACTTTGAAGTTGTAAATTTATTTATTCATGTAAATTTATTTATTTATGTAAATACATTACAACAAAGAAAGTTTATTCTAATATTTAAAGAAAATTCAATTAACTAAAAATAAAGTATTATGTGAATGATCTTTATAAGTTCAAGGCATTGTTCTTCTACGCTTATATAATGTTATTTCGGATAATAATTTTTTCAATGGTTTGAAATTTTTTTAATTTCTTCTGCCTACTTTAAATTATTTTTAGTCCTTTGATCTATTAAAATCATATATTATTAATTATTCATAAAAAATTATTAAATTTTTAATGCTGTAATATTATCTTTAAGAATTTCAAATATTTTTTCAGTTGTATCTATTAATTTTTCATATAATTCTTCACACAATTGTATATTATTGTCTTCTGATAATAAATTATTACTTTCAAAATTATCAAATATTGTAAAAACCTTGAAATTATCTATTGGCATTATTGAAGTGTCAAGAAAAAGATATTGATTGTGACGATGAATTTGATCAAAAAATTCAGTCATTACAATTCCTTTTTGTTGTACAAGATATTTACAAATAAAGAAACGGCTGATAAGATAAAATGGGTATCCACATATCCAACGTGAAATATTTGTCACTATTAAGTGATCATTTTTCCAGATCTTTCTATTCTTTTTTAAATTCTTTTCTTCAATTTGATTTTTTCCTTTTTACTAAAAAAATTTGTTCGAATTTTCTTTGTTGATGTGAAATTATTTGTTTTACAATAATAAAAGTTACCAAATCTAAATGGGGACAAAAAAATTTATATAAAAAATTCCATTTTATAACTTTTCAATAAACTTCTACAAACATATTTGTTTTTAAAATAGAAATTTTTTTTCACATTTTGCTCTAAACCACAAATTCCACCTTTCTGAACAATATCACTCATTCCATAATTAAATCCAAAGCCATGGCAATGAATGTTGTTGACAAAAATTATATATTTCTTATACAGCTGTTGTCCATATTGAAACTGAAGAAAATAATTAGTTTTTTATAAGAATAAGTGGATGTTGGTAAAGATGTTTTTTCATTAATTCCCATATTAATAAACGTAATCCTTTCGGACAAAAGTTAATTTTGTCTTTATTTAATGTTGGTTTAAAAGAAAGATCAATAAAAGAAAATTGTTGTTGTGCAACTATACTATTATAATTAATTTGTTATGGTTTTTTTTTATTGTTTGGTAATTTTGTTTCTAATGCTTTCTTGATATGCCAAAGGCATAATTGTATTTTGATATTTTTCCAAACAAAATGAGCAGCCAAAATTTGTACAAAATCTTTGTTGGTTAAAAAAAATTCAGGTTCAAGTCCACGAGACTTTAATTCCAAAAAAAAACTATTAAAGTTGCAATACGAATTCCGTTATCACAATTGCCATTATTTTCTAAAAAAAGATATGCTAATGAAAAACTCGTTCCATCAATATTTGCATGTATCACATATAACTCAAACTTCAAATTATTTGTATTATCTATTATAAATTTAAAATAAAAATTTATTTAGTGCAAATAATTTATTATAATTTAATTAAAAATTAAAAAATCTAAATACTATTCTTAATAATTTATTATAAATTTAATGTAAAAAATTAATTAAAAATTATAAATTTAATGTAAAAAATTAATTATAAATTTAAATTAATTATATAATTTAATAAAATTACATACAAGTAGCATCGACACCAATTTCATTTAATTTAAATTGAGAATTATATAAAATTTTTTACATTTCAGTTAAAAATTCAAAAGATTTAGGATTTTTTGTTTGAATAGGATTTTTCCTCAAGCCATTTTTATGTTGAATCTTTATCACAAATGTATTGATTTTTGCCAAGTTCATATCACCAGAAATGTATTTGTTTTTGTTGTATATTAATGTCTAAGCTATACTTGCACTATACTTGCACGCAAAATTATTTTGGAACCCGAAACCCGAAATATAAATACCCCGAAATTGATCCCAAAATACCATTTCAAAATTTTGATATTTCAAAATTAAA